CGTTGGCATTCCAAGAATGGATTTGAACACGGAGAAAACCCGCGAAACACAAGATTGTCATATAGGAAACACCCGTGAAAGCCTCAAGAATATTATTCGGTTGCATTGTCTGTAACGAAACATTAGTGACAGAGAGACAGAATAAAGACATTCACTTAAATATATTTATATATAATCAGTTTTTCTTCTCTTAACAACGAGTACCTCTAAGTCTGCCATCTTCCTAACATAATACATAAAACGGGCGATACAGTTATCGATCCCTTACGCCAAAAACATTACAAATATGAATACCGGCTTTCAGAATGGCGTATTCCAGTAAATAAAAAATAACGTATTCTAGTAAATTACTAGAATACGCAGGTTACGCTTACGCAGGTTACGCCGCATGTGACGGCACCGTTAGGTCTCCTTTTCTCTTTTTGACTTCTGCACACTGGACGCGGAAACGCTTGCCACGCGGCAAAATGTGATGCGGTAGCCAATAAGTTTACAGCTCCTAATGTGTTCATTGGTTACCGCATCTCATTTTGCCGTGCGGCAAACGTTTCCGCGTCCAGGTGCTGGAGCCATACGGCAAAATGGTACGTATCCACTGAGCGCGTCACGCGTCGCGTCGTCCATCGCATCACGACGCGATGCGAAAGAGAGAAAGAGTAAAGTTTATACCCCTTTCTTTCTCTCTTTCGCATCGCGTCATGACGCGATGGACAATGCGACGCGTGACGCGCTTAGTGGATTCGTACCCTCACAGAATTCTACTGCTGGACACCTATTATGGAAATGTTCGGAATGGATTCCGATCGGAATTATTTCGTTTTCCCTAGAAAACACAAAATAAATCTAGAGAATAATTGAATAATTCTGATCGGAATCCATTCCAAACATTTCCATAATAAGTACCCCTGCACACGAAACGCGGCAACGCTTACCGCGCGGCGGAATTTATCGCACTAATCAACAATTCTATGTTCTAAATCGGCCTCACGATGCAAAACTTCTAGAAATGATATAATATTATTGGGAATAAGTTTCCGCCCTTTTTGAAAAGAAAAAGATGTGTTTATTTAAACAAATCTATATAAGTGAGTATATTCAAAGTATGCTCCTTCGGAAGCGACAACTTTCTCCCACTTTTCCGGTAATAAATGGATTCCTCGAATGAAAAAAATCTAGTTTTTTTGAAGTGATCCTTTCATCAAGCCATTTTTTGATATCTTCATAAGAATTGAATCGTTCTCCAGAAAGGGCCGACTGCATGGATCAGAACAAATGGAAATCTGAAGGAGCAATGTCCGGTGAATACGGCGGGTGGGGCAGAATTTCCCACTTTACTCCTTCCAAGTATTTCTTGACCGGTTTTGCAACGTGTGGCCTAGCATTGTCATGTAACAGAATCAGCTTGTTGTGCCTATTGTCCCATTTCGGTCATTTTTCTTTCAAAGCTTGATTTAAACGTATCAGTTGTAGTCGATAAGTGTAGTCGATCGCCAGTGATGGTTTGAGCAGCTCATAATATACGAGGTGTGACCAAAAAGTAAGGTGACTTTTTGAATTTCGCGCGCTCTGTACACTCTAATTTCAAAATTTTTTGTTGTTGTGTTGGTACACTCGTCACGATCATATGTTCACAATTTTGACTATATAGCATGTGTTGTTTTTATGTGAGAAGCATAAAGGTTAGACTCGTGTTTGCGTGCTAGGTGATTTTTTGCTGTTGAAAATAATGGAGCAGAGAGTTTGTATTAATTTTTGTATAAAAAATGGTATTAAGTGTTCAAAAACTCTTGAAATGTTGACAGTGGCGTACGGTGAGTCAACTTTGAGCAAAAAAAATGTTTATAAATGGTATAAGTTATTCTAAGAGGGCCGAGAAAATGTTAACGATGAACCTCGCTCTGGACGCCCCAGCACGTCAAAAACCAACGAAAATGTTCAGGAAGTGAAAGAAATTGTGTTGAAAAATCGTCGAATCACGATTAGAGAAATAGCTGATGATCTTAACATATCGTTTGGCTCATGCCAATCAATTTTAACGGATGTTTTGGGTATGACACGTGTGTCAGCGAAATTCGTTCCAAAACTGCTTAATTTTGAAGAAGCAGCGTCGCATGAACATCGCCCGAGACATGTTGAACGACGTCAATGATGATCCTGATCTGCTCAAAAGGGTTATAACTGGTGACGAAACATGGGTATATGGTTATGACGTCGAAACCAAAGCCCAATCATCCCAGTGGAAGAGCCCAGGAGAGCCAAGACCGAAAAAGGCACGCCAAGTTCGTTCGAATGTGAAAGTTTTGCTCACAGTTTTCTTTGATTACCATGGCGTTGTGCATCAAGAATTCCTACCACAAGGTCGTACGGTAAACAAGGAGTATTACCTTGAGGTTATGCGGCGTTTGCGTGAATCAATAAGAAAAAAACGTCCGGAAGTGTGAAAAGAAAATTCATGGATTCTGCACCATGATAATGCACCTGCGCACACCTCGTTACTAGTGAGTAGTTTTTGGCCAAAAACAATACTATCATCATGTCTCAGCCACCGTATTCACCAGACTTGGCCCCCTGCGACTTTTTCCTCTTCCCAAAATTGAAAAGGCCCATGAAAGGACGAAGATTTGCGACGATTGAGGAGATTAAGGCTGCATCGCTGGAGGAGCTCAAGGCAATACCCAAAAGTGCATTTCAGAAGTGTTTTGACGACTGGAAAAAGCGCT